GGGGGGGGGGTTTACATTCAGGGCCTAATGCAAAACTAGTCTAAGAAGGATGGGTAACATTGTATATGGGATTGATGCAAACATGAGCTTTCTTGCATATGCACACATGTACTTCTGCTGATACCCTGGGTAATAAAATAATCAAAATGATAGTTTTGATAATGATAAAATATTTCATAATTGAGAGCAACTAATTTTATCACAAGATGCTGTCAAAAAGATGTCATCAAAATCCTTATAAGCTTGTCATAAAAATAGCAGTGCATATAAACATGTCAATGTACAACATCACAGAATTTCTTGTACAAGGTTCTTCTAAAGACTAAAATTCTCAAATAAAAAAGCAATTCTATGTCAGAAGTTATCCGTTACATTGAGCATAATTTGATAATAGAAAGCATACATTTCTCTCAGTTGAGTTCACAATTTGCAGATGGCTGAATTGCCTTCATATCTTTTTCACATGACGGATAATTGAGACGCCATCGTGCAGATATTGTAGAATCCTTTTTTGATGAAGTTGATCTTGTAATAATTCATTGAGGAGTTGCCCATTAGGCTAAACGCGAGGGGGTCTTCTTAATAATTTTTCGGAAAATGAAATGTTTTTTGTCTGGTTATTTTTAAAAAAATGCTATTGTCTTTTGGACTCGGCTAAATTAGGGGTTGATGGGTGGAGATCAGGTCTTATTAATGTAATAAGATGAAATGTTAAAAAATTGACATCTTTCGGAAATTGAAATGGTTTTCTCTGGTAATGTTTGTTCAAAATGCTATTGTCTTCTTGACATTTTCTGTCATAGTGAAATTTAAGATCAGTGAATTTTATTCTAACAATTGAATAAATGTGATGCTTCTCTCATTTTGGTGCATTTTTGGCCATCCATATATCTTATTTAGGGACCATGTACTAATATGCCATATTATTTAGTTCAATTTATTTTTAAATTAAAGTAACAACATAACTGATATGTGTTGTCATTGAAATGTTGGTTCACTTTCACCTCCTAAGTCAAAATAAATGTCTAAGACTGCACCGAACAAGCTAACAAACCCAAATATAAACATTCAGCAATTTTTCACTACTGACCATTTTACAGAGCAATAAACAGCCAAACAAACATACATGTGACCCCATCTCAACTCAACTTATCAAAAACATAGATTTTTCTCTTAATATTCATTCAGAAATCCTAGAAATCACAGAAATATTTGAATATTTTAGAAGGGGCTAGTTTAGAGGTTTTGGAAGATGATGAAGGGGCTAAGACAACTCTGTCACATGATCTGTTATTTTAGCTGTTACATGGGGCTGGCTGTCTCGACTGAAGAATCAAAGTCTCAGGACTGTGGTCACAAAATTAGCCTGGATTAATCATCTCACAAACTTGTATTAGCACCAGATTTGTTCCATACTAAAGGTGATTTTGAACAAAATTATGAATAAACACAAGTTTTGAGGAAAGTGAACAGAATATCATGTCTGACTCGTACATGTACATAAATGTTGAACTGTATAAAAACATTTATTACAGGTTGCTACTAGCTGAATATTTATCTAAATCTCTGGGGGAGAAGGGGGTGGAGAGGGGGGGGGGGGGTTCACTTTGTTTGTTTGCTTGTTTGTTTTTCTGTCTGTTATTTTGTGATTTCATAACCACTTAAATTTTTATGCCCCATTGTATTTTGAAGAAGTCTAGTTGATTGTATAACCCCATGCAATTCTAAGAACATAATTCAATTATTAAAACTGATTGTTCAATTTGTTCAATATTTATCCACAAAGTCAGTGGTTAGACAGAAATCAACTCAAACACTACCAAAGTGGATTAACAGTCTACAAAAGACCTAGGCAAGAACAATTAACTCCACAGAATGTAATACAGAGAGACATTTTGATGATACGGAAAGTTATAAGGACATTATTGGTTGATGAATTAAGGTAATATGGTTGAAATTGGCTTAATCGGGGCAGAAGATGAACAGTTAACAGTAATTTCTTCATTAAATCAAACCTAATTGGGTTAAGTTGCTATAGTGTTGTCATTCTTGATTTAGGAACGAGAGCATCATTCTTAAATGCAGTGACGTAATCACTTTCCTGCTTAAGAAGATACATCCTGCCCATTTTATGAAAAATCTGTTTTTAGAGATATTTGTAATTTTTTATACCCCATCTGACACTGTGCTTTGTTAAGTCATGCTTTTATATATATATATCTTTTAATAACTCGATAATCATGTCATATAAATGACGTATCAGTCACTACATTGTCTAGAACTACAGACTACAACTACAAAACTACTTTATATCAGTTTCACATGTAAGAGTATAATACTAAAATATTAGCCTGGTGTATCCATAATACATGGTTTTAAAACATGTGTACATCACTGCATAATATTAATCATTATCTAAATTTTTCAAAAAGTGATAAACAAATTCTACAATGCCTGAAAAGATGTTATTTTATGATGTGAAAAATAGTAAAAGAGTGCTCTTTCAACATGTAATGTGTAAAAAATTGATACGGCAGAGCAAGAAACAAACCGTAAAACTGTAAATCTTTTGAATAACTGTATGATTGAGTGAGTGTTTGGTTAGCTTGTGCAAGTACTGCCTTCTTTACTTGACACATTGCTGTCTGTCTGCACTTTATCATGGTGTAATGTATAACCAACTTCAAAACCAAAAGATGAGATTTTGTGATTTAACACATCTCAGCTTCCCAGTGTATGAACTCAGTTTTACATTTTAAAGAAAACAATGCATGATGCACTAACATTATAACAAATATACTGAATGACTCATTTTAATTGAATTTTAGGATTTAGACTGTTTTATTATAATATAGGAAATCAAAGAGTTGATATTGATTCAAAAATGCACAAATAAAAACAATTGAAAAATATAATTATCAAAATGAAAAATGGTTCATTATGATGATTTTGTAATTTTTAAATTGTTAACTATTCCCCAAACAAGTAAATTGTTACGATAATTATATTTGCCATATTTGTCTAGATTTAGGTATAATATAACATTCTAGATTTAGGTATAATATAACATTCTAGATTTAGGTATAATATATCATTCTAGATTTAGGTGTAATATAACATTCTAGATTTAGGTATAATATAACATTCTAGATTTAGGTATAATATAACATTCTAGATTTAGGTATAATATAACATTCTAGATTTAGGTGTAATATAACATTCTAGATTTTGGTATAATATAACATTCTAGATTTAGGTAAAATATAACATTCCATATAAAAAACATTCTCTATTTAAATTGCTGATATTCCGTTGATCCTCTGATAGTAAAAGTCTATTTCTTGAGGAATTTTAGACTTTATATTGAAGTAGTCACATCATCTTTAATTAGTTTCAAAATGGCTTTTTAACAGTTATGTTCAAAAACGTGCAGATAGAAATCATGCATATCCCACATTACTGTTGACTTTATTTGAAAAATATCAATACTCAATTTTTCATAGATAACGAGGATAGCGTGTAAGACCCTGGTCATCTGCCTGATACATATATCACATCCGACATATATTGGAAGCCATCATTCTCTAAGATGCTATCTAAAATATTTGCATTGTTGGAAAGATTATTGTTTTTCTGACTTTGAGATACAAATTCAAGATATAGCCGTGTATAAACTGATAAATGTTAATACCGCATCACAGGTTGTTGAGGCTATATGAAATCGTTGTTGTAATATCCAGCTCCTATTGGTCGATTGTGCTCATTTATCATACTCACTGAAAAATGGTATATTTCCTTTGATGAAATATGTTTAAAATTTTACTCTGCATCAAATCAGTGGTTATAATGACTCTCTTTTGTATTATCGGCAGCTATATGGGCAAATATTAGTTTAGTTAATGTTTTGGTATAATAGAGCTGAGTGAGGTCCATTACACACCTATGGTGAGACTAGGCCTTGAGTCTGTGTTCATTTGACAACATACTATTCAATATCAGACATCCCAAACTATCATGTCGCCAGCCAAACTTTTCTTTTAGCGTTTAGTCAGGCCTCACAAATAAAAATCTGTTCAATCCTATGGGGATTTTATTACACAAAGTCTTCATACCCCTTGGAGTTATTACCATGCTCTTCCTGGCAGAATGATAATCACATTGACATGCCTGGGAGTGATCCACATTGAGGCAAGAGACGCAGTTGCCTCAATTATCATTTTTTGCCTCAGTTTTGTTCTTCTTTTTCTCTAATTTGGCTAGCAATTCTTTGATCACACAGTTATTTGAAACATAAAATTATTTTTTGCCTTCCAAGGTATGAGCTTAATTTACTTCTTTTTGAGTCAATTGTTTTATTTCCTAAATCAAGTTTTTATTTGTTTTATTTCATACATCATTGATTGGTGTTAAACAAATAATTAATATTGTTGGTCTCCTTTGTAATGACAGGTTGCAATGTCGCTAGACGCAGTTTACTTCCACCCAGGGATATGTGATTAGTGGTGAGATGAGCAATTATCAAATATGCTCATTTTTTTCATTCCGATACTTCACCATTTTAATTCTCGTTGCCTTTCATCTTTTTCATTTGCTGGATTACTACATTGAAACTCATGTGATTTTTCTCTCCATTAAATGAACGTTGGTTCTTCTCTTCTTGGAATATTGAGGAAAATTTTGACTGGGATTTGAAATGTTTGTATCCGTCTATGAAGTTTTGAATTTAATTAAGTTTTTACAATTGGAAATGCGAACCATGAAGTACGGTATGTTGAAATTGTCATTGATTTTATGATTTGTCAGACACTGGCTAGGATGATGATAAAGTACCTAATGTAAGATGATGAATAAAACAGCCCCATTAATTAGGGGTTGAGGCAGTTGAGAGTAAATGAAGATCATTTATGTGTGTTTAAACATGGAGAATTCACAGCACGCCAGACTCTTCTCTATTCACAGCCACTCACCCACAGCAGAAAATACAGACATAAACAGGGATATAATTTATAATAGTTTATTATACTTACAGGCAGAAAAAACTTTTACAATATAGCTGTACATAAGAAAAATCACCTAACCTGTATTCAATGTTTAAAAAACTAAATGCTTTTGAGATAAAGTAATATATCTGAGATTCGGTGGTGTTTGTTCGTTTTTTAGAATAAATATCTTACATTACACTAGACATTACTTTTCATTCAGTAAATTATGCTATATACTGTCTTTCAAAAATAAGACATTTCTGGTCTCAACTCCAAGAGAATCCTTATTTTCAGCCACCATGTTATTTCCTAAATGCTAAGATGTGCTCCACTTTAGTTTGAAGCAAATATTGTACAAAAAATGTTTCCATCAAAATAATACATTGTCTTATTGTACATTGTATACAATACTTATTTTCCTAATGACATGTTAAATATACATAAGTCACATTAATTACTTATATCCATTAAGACATAGGGTTACTTTGGAATGTATTGTACATGTTTTTTACAATATTATCATAATTATCCAATATAATAATATTATCCAATATGGATATATCTCATATCCTGATGTTATGATTTTAAATTGAGAAGCCATGTCATCAAAATATTTTACTAAAAATTAAACTAAAACTACCTCACTATGAGCAGCTATATCCTACAAATGGAAGACTCGAAAGATATATGATTTATCTTAAAATGAAATAAAAATATTCTAAAATGGGTTTACTACTGTATTTTCAAATTGCTACCTGTTTATTAATAATACATTGACTTCAAGAATACACTACATTGGCTGACTTTCTCTTAATTACTTATAATATATTATTACATTGTCCCTCGTTGTAATCCACTGTCTTTAGATGTATGTACACATATATACACTGATCTAACTAATTAGCTATGTTTTTACTTGTCATGGCTGTCCCTTGCTATTTTGGCACTTTACATATTTTTGGATTTTCCACTAATTTTTTAGAAACATAGCACCTACTTCCTAGGAACACATACTTTATTTACAAGACCCTGTTTAACCTTCAGTTAACAAAATGAACAATGATATTTTATTTAAGAAACTTGAAAAAAGAAGAAACCACCACTCGGTAATTTAGCCATAAAATACATAGTAATGTTGTAATTATACAAATATATTATGTTTTTGTACATATTTTCTCGACTCACCAACACAAGTTAAACATTCCTCTACATATAATGCATGACTAGTTACAATAACCTTTGATAACGTACTGGTACACATCAGCATATCAACACAAATCATTTCAATGTCTGTTAAGATCATCTGAATCGCTGCATGTTTCCTAATATTTTCGTTTATAACTGTTCACCAAGTTCTCACTTTATTCCACTGTTTCTCAATGTTCCATAGTTACCATGGTAACATACATTTTGGTGATGCTTTCCTTTGAGGTTTCCATGGCGATATAAAGGTTGGCAATCAATAAAATGAATAAGTTTCCTGCAACTGTTTCCTTTACTCAACATGACTGTCTAAGCACTCAACATGAGTGCTCATGTACTCAATATGTCTGTCCAAATATGGGAGTCACTTGGACCGTAATAAATAATGTTAGATATGACCCAGGTGCTGGTACTAAGCTATAGTACCCACCATGTTATTTGTAGATAAGTTGAGACCTGAGGAAGGTATATTGGAAAATGAGGGGGGTAGTTGAGATGAAGATAGACTAGTTGGAGTGAATGAGTAGCCGCCGGAGATTCCTCCATGGTGTGAAAGTCCTCCATGGGACATTGCACTTGGGTGAGAAAGTCCTCCAAAGTTGGATGAAAGATAGTGGGATGTCTGGGGCTGCATATATCCTCCGCTTAGGGTGTTGTGCCCCATTGAAGACATCCCCGTCATGTACCCCATAGGTGTATGCATCGCTGGGCTGACATTGGGAGGGGAGAAGGTCGAGAATGGCTTGTCGAGGGGTTTCAATAGGTCACACATACTGGCTCCTCCACGCTTCTTCTTGCTCTTTGTTGACATCTTCCTGTTGCGTGTTTGGATGCCGTCTTTCTTCATGGTCAGTGGCCTGTTCACCTGTAAGCATAGAAAGAGCAATATAAGTATCAGGATGGAATTGGCGAAAAAATACAGGGACACATTTGTATGAATCCATCACCAGGGCTTAATTTTCTAACAATATTTGAAAGGAAGTAAAAAAGAGCTGTATAAAAAGCTGAAGTATTTTTTCCAATTTAATTATACATCTTTAAAACATGTTATAGTTTGAAGCTAACAAAGACGTAATCAGCCATGCTATTCACCAAAAGGTTTAAAACCAAATCCATGTTTTAAAAATTGTAGTATTTTAATTGCTCAATTAAAGCCGTAAAAGAAATCCAGGATATGTTTTAACTTAATGGGCCCTAGGTAGATAATAGCATTGTCATGTTTTTCACATCTGTGTTGCAGGCAGTCGGGTTTGATTCACTCGAAATTATCTTAGATTTAAACAAAATACAAAGATCAAAAAGAGAATTTTAATTTAAAAAATGCAGCAATATTTTATTGATGATTTTTCCTGATCACCTGTCTTATAACTGAATATTATTTCCCCAATATTTTTTATTTGAAAAAATTAGCATTCAAAAATGCATTTTTTCTTAAATCAAGAATTTTCACATGATTTAATTTCACCCCTTAAGCAAAATGATTGTGAAAGGAAAACATGCATATAATAATATTATTAACCTCTGACCATATTGACAGATTTTTCCAGCAAATCATCACTATGGGGTAGAGATGTTTCACCCCATGGTCACTTGTCTACATTGTATACTGAACACATTAATAGAGCCAATATTAACAATTATATTTGAGCTAACCAAGGATTCAAGGGTGAACATTTCACGAGAGATACAGATTTAAGAATGCCGTATTATCCTAAAATTAATGACAAGAGTATTTATTCTAGGATTGAAATATTGCATATATTAAATAAGAAAACAATATGTAATTAGCAAGCATATGCTCTGAAATTTTAATTTGAAAAAAGCACAACAATTATGCAAAAATAAGCGGTTAACTCTTGTTACATTGAGTAAATCTGATACTGCGATTTGGCGGTTAATATACATTATTTAAACAAGAAGAAATTAAAAGAATGTCATATATAATTAAACGCCTAACTTCTGTGTATTATCTAGATAGAGATCTTGAAATATAATGAGAAAATTGCCTGGATGCGTATAAGTTAATTATTCTGTTGTGAACAAAAATAATGGCTGTTGTTCTGGACTTGAACATGGACAATATGGTGGAATAGGTACCTACTGTCCAGATCACCCCACCTGCTTTCTTGGTGATTACCAGCAAATTTTCTGTTGAAGATTTCATCAAGTTAAGCTTAACTGAGACAATAAAATTCTTTACAAGTTTTAAATGTCAGTTTTATGGCCGTTGGATGACAGAGTTGGTTTGGTTTGATTGTTGTTTTATTTTTTAGATGACGTGGCTTATGGACTTTTATTTGAGTTAACTCGTGTTTTTCAGTTCTTATATTATATTAAAATTCAAAATAATTATATATTTTTTATCAATAGCTTGTGTTGGTGTGCCATATTGCCATTGGTCTTGTTTATCAATAGCTTGTGCCTGTTTCTAAAAGTCAGTTTAAAAAATATTAAAATAATTAACTTCTTTTAACACAAAACAACAAACAAATCTGAGTACATTTTGTTACTTTGAAATATTTTTGCATTTCAAATGTTTTTATTTTCTATGACATGTTATGAGGCTTTATTTCCCCTGTACAGTGAAAGAATTATCACAATTCAAAAACAACCGAGATAAACTCAGATTGGAATGCATTATTTTGAAAATCCAATCCTTTCAAATTAGTAAAATGAGCGCAATTTGTTAGTTTCCTATTCCAAGATCAGAGAAAGTCTAACTCTTTTGAAGATATAATAAACTTAATGAATGTTCAAATATTATGACTCTGTGATATAAACCAGTACCCTGGTTTAAGAGTGTTAAATTGGATGTTTTTGATTAGGGAGCAGATAGTGGTATTCTCCCCCTGGTATATGTTATTTTAGAAAGTATGCTAAAACAAGTGCCTACTAAGATAATATCACTATATCGTTTATCACAAATTTCAACAAATTGAACAAAAAATACCACAATGATATATGGACCAGATTACTGGTAAAAATGTATGGTTTTAGTGTTAGAAAAAAATAATGGAGATGTTATCTGAGTTAGTCAAACACTTTAGTATTTACATAGTATAATTCTATCATTATTACCATTGTTATTGAAATTGTATTCATTTTAATGAATAATTAAACGTAAATCAATAAAAATGCAAGAAGTGATCTTATTTTCATGCGAGATCTACGATTTATTGAAATTGTTTGTCTAAATTGTATTGTGCGAAAAACACGAGATAAGAATGTCGATATCCTGTTTTTTCTTAAATAGTAATTACTAACTCTGTTGTCGTGGTGGGAAGGATACAACCACTTAGAAAGCGTGAAATAATATCTGTTGAACAATAACGGAATATTAATATGAGAAATTAATAGATATGTTCCGAGAATTTTTGTTTTGTATCGTAATTTAGTTCCTTGTTTACATACAACATGTAAAACAAGCTTGATTCTTTAAATCTAAAATTGTTTAGAGAATTTCAGTTATGATAACATTTAGATTTATAAATATTTTTAATTAATGTTGCCATTTGTGATTTCTTTTTAGAGGCTCCAGACATAGCAAGTGATGTAACAGACCTCCCCCTCCTTCTATCATCATCATATTCATCAGCTGTGAATGGGGCCACTTTCAAGTTGACATAGGGCTAAAGGTATGTCAAATTTCACCCAGCAATTGTTTCTGACACTTATTTCCCTTTGGTTTCAAATCACACCAAACACTGAGCAAATCTGAACATTGAAATGTTATTCAAATATACATATATGTTTTCAAAATACAGGATCTAAATGTTAACAGTATCTAAATGTTAAGTGCATAACGGCTCAAAATATCTAGACATGGAGTTAAAAAATTGGAAATGGTTGCAACGCTCAATTTCATGATGATTGGGAGGTAGCTGAATAGGACATGAGCTGGTTTCAATTTTCTTTCACTTTTCTTAAACAACATAATCTGCTTGGGTATTTTCTTTACTGATTGGTTTCAAGCAAGATTGGTAGGTTGAATTTCACAGGCCTAAGTTGATGGAACCAGTGACTATGATCAAGACAGACAAACAAATACACAAGGCGGATTTCAAAGGATTCATAGTCTCTTGTGACCTGTTCAACTGAACTCCCCAACCAGTTATTTTTTATTATTTATTTTTCTCAGTTTTGAGAGGCTGATCTGATACATCACTCACCATGCATAATAATTTCTAAATGATGCCAGAATTATATCGATAAATATGATAGAATACTAATTGAATTGAGACCAGAAATTGTTGATTTTCCTAAATTGATTAATTGAAAATGTTGATTTTTGTTATAGCGCAAAAGTTCAAGGACTGCGCAAGTCAGTTGGAATCATTTATCTTGGGCAATACATGGCAAAATACCACCAGCAATATTTAAAATGTACACTAAAATTATTCTGAATTATGCATTTATTGTTGTTCATACTTTGATCCATCCGTTGGCTTTATCATCTTTTAAAATAACATCTAAGTCAACTTTTGCAGTTTTCAAGTGATTAAGGCTTGTAAAAATAGCCATATTGTATGTTTTATCGCAAAACTAACAAAATTGTTATTATTTGCATGACTTTTGACCATTTGCCCAAGGTATATTTTAAACTTTAGAAACTTTAATACTTTATTTATAATGCACATTAAGATGCCAGTGATCTGATTGTAAAATAACCTAATGTTTTTTATCAACTGTCATATATTTTATATTTTTCCATAACTGTACATTTCACAGGCTTACTCCAATTTCAAAATGTAATGATATTGATGCAGAATTATATAATAATTGAATGATCATTTATATGTTTTAATATTTCAGCCTTGGGCATATTGATAAGAGCCGAAAAGAATTATCCTGAGTCTAAACAGTCCCTCTATAGCAGGTATAATGGACAATAATTATGGGGTAAGGCCTATTATAATTAAAGTTGGACATATAATGGCTGCCTTTCGTTAAGTTGACTCCACCTCACTCCCCAATCAGTTATTTCAACCTCACTTTATGTTATTATCACGGCTCAGTGGTCGGACTCTGCTTGGAGATACTACCGTATGACTTCCTAACTTTTTACAGGGTATTTTTCTAGTGACTGCCCCTTTACAAATCATTGTTCTAGTCAGACTACAGTTTTCATTTAACTCAGGGTTTGATTTGATACAGACGCCAATGCAACTGAATCATGTCTCCAAATATCCTATGATAGACTTGTGCTTGAATACATGACTTCGTTTGGACAAGATTTTTGGTGATGATATATGTAGTTGATATCCCTTGTTCAATAGGGCCTAACTGTGTTGTGTGAAAGTTACTCCAAAATCCCACATAGAGACACATGTAATCACAGTTTAAAAACACTGATAAGATTTTTATACCTCTTTGGCTCAAAATTTATGTGATAAAACCCGCAAAAAATTTATGGCATTTAGAGATTAACACTGATTAGAAATGATTTTTCACCAGTTATACACTCAAAAACAATGTAAACTCTGATTGCGCAGATAAAATACAGATAACTGTTATAGAAATGTTTTATTTATTTATTTTAAATGACTTATGAATAACTGAATACTGATAAGCAGAAGGTGAAGACAAGTTTAATTTTGAACATTTATATAATCTTTGTATATCACTCGATCTTTATCAGGATTAAATCATTTTTCTTGATGAAAGCCAAATTTACTAAAAGGTTGTTAATCCCTTGCCATATGTACAAAAATATCTCAACCTGCGATCTTAATTCTAAACTAAATCAAAGGTCTTAAACAATTTAAGGAAGTTGAAAATAAAATGTTGTAAAGTATAAGGAGTGTTTTCATGGAAAGGCCAGTCAGGTATTTTTAAGAATATAATCCTTATGGAGACGGGCCTACTGCCCATGTTCAGTAAGATTACCCGAACTTCACCATAAAATAAATGAGCTTATTTTACTCACGTTTCTAGGCAATGTAGTCATTAATATTGAAACAAATCTTTACATTCAGGAGAAAATCTGACAGAAATAGTGAACAAATACGGGAAATGTTAGGATCAATTGTAACTGAATAGATAATCCGTGATAAAATGGCCCCACATGTACCCGAAATAACCTTTGAATAAGCTGTAGCTAAGTGGCACCAAAATGGATCAACTTTTACAAAAACTGTTTTTTACTTATTTGATTTTTCGGTCATTTGCTTATCTTTGTATGGCTTACTGATGAGTCTTTGTATGTTTACATGGAGACAAGTCTGAGAAAACGACCAATACTTCGGTGACCTGTGAAACCTTTACTATTGGTCATGGGTCCTATTTTAATAACACTTACTATTTTATCACATAAAACAAACAGAGCTAGTCTATGACTTATTTAACTGGGGATTAAAGAATTAGTCAGCTAGGGTACCCCAGTCTGCCAGGCCTAAGCCCTCAGTCTTTGTTAACATTATCCAAAATGATCCTTCTTTGGCCATAATAATATTCTACTCTATAAAGCGATCATGTGGCATATGCTATAGCTGGCACAAATATAAATGACATGGACGCCAGCTCATTTGTTTAGAAAATAAGCAGTTTGTAAGTTAAATTGACTTAATGGTTATCTCTGACATATTACTTTTGGGTCAAAAATGTTTCATTTTTGCTGATTATCGTAAAAATTATTGATTTAATTATCATCTCTTTTACAAATGACTCATTGATTTTAGTACAATCAAAATAATGTTTCATATACATTCAATATCTAAAAAAAATTAAAGGATGAACATAAAAAATAAATCCTGGTGTGTTTTAATAAGGGATGGTTTATTAAAATATAAATCTTACTAAGTGTCGGTTTTGATATCTGGGGGTAGGCTCATGAGAATTTATTAGATAGAGACAACATATGATGAAACTGCAAGAGCAATTTTTTACCATCATTGAGCTAGACAAGATGGAGTCATGTCGAGAGGGGGAGTATGGGTGATTAAATTTCAATATAAACCCACTAAATATTTTGAAAGGTCCATGCTGCGTCTTATTGTATTGTAGTATACTAAATAGTCATATAGAAACACATAAACCCTAGGTGGTTGGGGTATCCATAATGGAGAAAACCATTGGCAATTGATAGTTGATTAAAGAGCATTAATTTTAATAGACTTGCATGTCTCTCGGGACTTAATAAATAGATAAATATTAAAGAAAATATTAGATAGTTTGCTGTACGGGTGGAAACAATTTGTTTTCAATAGTTTAATCTTTTTTCATTGCGTATACTCATTACAGTTTATCAATAACAATAATATCAGGGTAGAAAAAATATGATTAATAGTTCTAGTCTAGTCTAACATCAACTATCAAGGTATTTTCAAATATTTTTTGCATATCTAAACCGCTCAGAATGATTAGTATTTTAACTTGGTAATTCTACATTGCTTGTGTTTAAGCCAATGGCAGACATCTCCCTAGTTTATTTACTGAATAAATCCATTCAAAATAATCCAAATTCACATAAAACAATTTTGTTTAATTCTTGTCTGTTACACTTTTTACAAGTAGGCTAGAGTTTGAAACTTCAAAGGAAATCAAGGTGTTTTCTAATCATTGTTTGTGTATGTAAGGCAGTGATAGAGAAACATTTAAACATTGGGTGGCTCTAAAGCAAAAGGGAGACTGATTGATAGTTAGGTTCCAGCTTACTTATCAAACTTGCAAAGCCAACCGTGCCTCAGAAACTACAAACTTTGGTGGTCCTGTTAAAAAAATAAACTATAGCTGGACTGTGCAGTTTCACTAAGAGTATCCTGGTAAAACTGAAACCTTCCTAATCTGATAAAATAACTTGATTGGATTGAGCTTGACCCTAAGTGATAATACAACGAATAACTGTATGGCACTGTTTGTGGAATACTCAATAGTCCAAAAAAGCTTCATTGGTAAATTGATTTTGAAATAATATTCTAAACTTACATTGTGTAATTTGTAGTAGAGTCCACAAGCATTGCAAACAGGGTCGCCATTTGGGTTGCGTCGCCAAAGGGTTGTTGTGGATGTGCCACAGTTAGCACATGAAGTTCCGGCTCTTCTGGCTGCAGACTGAAAATAGATGAGGTAAGATTCTTAAACATTATGATTTCACAATGAAAATGGATCAAGTCAAGTATCAGATCAGTAAGTTTGGCGCTGATGATTTATTTTAAGTATGTACTCTCCAATATATTATGGAGGCAATAAAGATACATAAACATAAAAATGATTTCCCTTTTTGGCAGCATTAACTGATGAAGTAATTACAGCTTTTACATAAATATTCAATAAATCAACAGCAATGAAAAAATCCTAAAATGTTCAGTTTTATGTAATAAAATGGGAAGAATTCATGGTAATGTGCATACCATGTAAACTTGAGTAACCAGTAAATTACTTGGAATTCAAGGAATATTTTGCTGCCACTATGTTTTCCTATTCAACCTCTTGGGTGTGGATGATAGAAGAGCACCTTTTAGTATTTTTCAACTTATAAGTACTGATGATGTTTAATTTAAAATACTTTTCAAAGTTAGAGCCATTTCAGTGAAAAATTCGGGGACATTTTTTGTTCTGAGTATTTAAGAGTCAGTTTTGTCTTTGCACTGCAAAATGTTAATGAAGTGTTTAATTTCCTTACATTTCATTTTAATTAAAACTATTAATGTCAACATATTTAATTCATTCCTTATTCAGTGTATTCTCTTTTAGTCTATTTTGCATATTAAAATATGACTGTCATGACAAACTAGCTTTCAACGACCAGCATTTTTATACTTAAGCTGCAACTAATTTATTGCGGCGGAGCCTCCATAATCGCATAATTGAAAACTGATTTAAGACAATAATTCAAAATCTATTGTTTCAGTCATAGACAAAGACAGATGAGCACAATTTCCTGATCTACCAGAGCATCATCCTGTTGACAAAATAACAATAGGGCACCAAATGAGAATATAGATAAGGTTTGTAAATTTCGATGAACACCTCCACCCCTACACTGCCTTTGCATGTGTCTTAGGGATGTATGCCTATCTGTCATATTAAATACCTTAATGGGTCAAGATGTACCAATTCCCTTTTTTTGTTACAAATCATTAATAGGTTTTATTTATATTATCAAATGTATATTTAGAGCTTTTAGCAGTTAATAATTCAAGCACATTATTGTGTATTTCTATGACAGTCTATACATATTCTTGTTTATATCATAGCTATTTTGCATATGAGCTACCGGTACCGCAGATGAGTTGGGATATGGTTGTTTGGTAAAAAACAACTTCCTGAACCAATGAATACATGTATTACCCGTAGATGATTGTACAATATTTACGATGCACTCAGCCCGGCATTAGCTAATTTTCATTCAGAAATTAATTTATTTTAAAACGATTAATCTAAGGGTTTTGAAAAATTAAAACTAATGGAGTTAGAGGTGATAATTCATATTCTATTGTGGGATATTGTTGCAAAAAACATACATAGTGGTGTATTGTTTCCATAGAGCTGATCCCTATACAGAACTGTTTATCATAATGTTTGTCTACTAATAGACAGATTTCCCGACTTGGATTTCAAAATTATATATTTTATTGAAGTTTGCTGAAAAACACTGCATGAAATGGGAGTATCAGCTGCCTATGACAGCATCCCCATGTTGCAGAGGAAACACATATGCCATTTACTTTTAATACCACTAATTTAATTCTAATTACTATTTTCCAACACTGTTTAATTAATTCACGGCAACAGGTGGAATTATCTATAGAAAGAGGATGAATTATTGAAAATATTATTAAATGTGTACTTATGCATCGTTTGAACTAGTGGAAATTTTACATCGCTTAAATCTATTTTATCATTGCCTTTTACATTGAATGTTCATGATCCTTTTAGTGTATGGAAATATTCCGGGTAATTTTTAAAGTAAATGAGGTTAAACCTTGTGTGATGTGGTATTTTTGAGAGGATAAATGTGGAATTGAGTTCACTAATGACTACAAAGACCACACTTCCTGTGGATCAACTCTTCATACATTTGCCAAACAATATTACAATTAAGTTCAACAACTCAACCTCTTGACAGTCTATTTCGCACTTGACTTTTTCAAAGTCCGAATAAATTGTACATACATTGTTATCTAAAAGATATAATATCTTGAGAATCTGTCAGTTAGGAACTGAATTAAATATATTTTGAATTAATGATATATTCAAATGTAATTTTGTTGTTAATTTTTTTGATCAGGTTATTAGAACATTTGACATGCTAAATATTTGTGAGTCAACTAGGAGATGTTATAGGGTTACATGTATATGGGTTTAAGCTCTGAATGCGAATGAAGTAAAAATAAAGTGCATTTAAAAATTGATTTTTTTCATTTTTCTGTTTTATATTAACTCCAGCAACCAACACAAGTAGATGGTCTTGAAAGACTTAGCTGGCATTGTCATCAAAGCAAAGACCCTAATGGAAAATACAACTTATTCTCCCAAATCAAGACTTTAAAGTGATTCCACAAACAATCTGAATGTCCTTTATTAATATCACACTTAAATGTATGGACTCTGAATGTTGGTCCAATTTTGATGGAATCCAACAGGAATAATTTGACCAGTTTTGAGATTTATTGCTAGAGCAAGAACAACACACATGTTTGTGTTTAGACAACCCCCTCGCTCCACACTCATTTTTCAAGCTAATATGGCATGCTACCCGCTGCAGAACAAAAACAGAGAAGCCGTTCAGTTTTACACCATTTGCATTGAAAAATGTGAAAAAAATAAATTGGGAATTTGTCGAGGAACAATCTGTGAGTGTGTATGCTGGACAAACTTGCTTTGTTTCTAGTAATGCCTTTCTATTTGAGTAAAAAATATGGGGTTATGTTGGTGTATGATGTTGTGTGACGCTTAGTTATTTATAAGCCTAGTATTTTTTATCATATTTGGGTTTAATTGGCTTGCTTATTACTTTGAGAAGAGTGACATTTCCATTGATTTTCAGCATTCTATATAACACTGTTATATCAGTCAGTCAAATATTTTGATGGATCAAGATGCAATGCCTCTTTATGTTTTATCAAGATTTCGTACATATTATGACACATTCTCTCAACTGTGTTTACCAAAGGCCACTTGTCTTATTGATTACACCACTCATGATAAACAAATCGAACTGACCCCAAAAAATCATGCACACAAACCAGAGTTGTTTCAATAGAGTGCTGATCTTGTTGATATTGAAAGTAATGGAGCGGTACATAGTGTTCCACAGCCACTTTACAAGTACTGCCTTCTCAACATTTACACCATTTAACATCACTTTTTTGCTTTCCCATCAAATGGTAAAGTAGGTAATCTCCATGCATAGTTCCTGAAGAATCTCAGAATAGCTTGATTCTTGGCATCTGGGGGGAGACAGGGATAATTTCTTGAAAATATACAACACTCTTTACATGGGATAACTTTGGGACTTTACCAGATTGGTCTCAATGTGTGAATGTTCAATGTTTGGTCAGTTTATAATGACCTAACACCACACCTCGAATGAACCAACCATAGATGAAGAGATTCACTCTGCTAAGGGTTTCAATGTGTACTATCAAATCACGTATATTATCAACTCAGTGGGCTCAGCATGCTAAGAAAAATACAACTGCCTGACTCAGGTTTCTGACTTGAACCGTTTCTTGCAGCATCTAGGCGCCAAGCTTCCTCTCTCTATAAACACCATTGCTTACGCTCTTGGCAAATTACTGTGAAAAGTGTTCCCATAACCAATCAAGCAAGCACTTTCTAGATGCCTGTCTAATGGTCTGTGTAAGTTTGGATTCACAATTGCTGTCTCAACATTTACTAGCAACAGCAGGTCGAAGCAGACCAACTACCAGACTCTATTTTCAATGAGTTAACTTGTCTAACTCAACTTGTTGGCTCAATGGGGATGAAAACAAAACTGGGATGATTTGCTACAGTTCATCTCTGATGAGCTCCAAATGCACTTGGCACAAGTCTGAAATACTGGCCATAAGAGAGCATCCTGATAAAATCTAATTGCAATAAATCCCCTTATTGATTCTTTTAAAAAACACATGGCATCTTGTGGGGTAGAAAAAGCCAGAAAGGGTAGTTAAAAGTCATTTCAAAACAAGAAGTGTGTGATCAGAAGTATTACCATCCTAAGAAACTGTTTGATATTTTTGTGAATGTTTTGATCTACACTGTTGAGCTTTTGGCTATAATTTAGGTAGATTTTGAAGATAAACACAGATATTTTGGTGTTTTGATACCTTTTTAGTGACTTTTATGTGGTGTACCTAACAAAGTGTTGAAAATGTATAGATATTTTAGACCTAGCTATACTGTTAGGGTAGACACCTTTGAGCCCAGAACAGGCTAATCTTGGGCCTTCTGGTCATTCACAGTATCATGTTCATCAAAAATGTCTTATCAAAAGATATTGATGCAGTTGAAAAATATGCTATCAAAAGTATTATGTTTTCAGAACAGTAACAAACCTGGATTATACAGCCAGGTGCATGACTTTAATGACCTATAGGATTAATTTGAATATGGTCAGTGATCTGGCCCGTGTCCACTATCTCCCTAAGGATAAGGTAGAGACAGCTAGGCTTACCACCAGCCTGTATTTGTTTGCATAAGGTGATCTAAGAGGAGTCTTGTCTCTTGCTCACTTGTAAGCATTAATCTTATATAAATTGGTGGTAATTAATGTGGCATCTTCACTAACAATCTAATATGATGCAAATATCAACAGTTTCTAAAGGTGTACCAGAATCCTGAATCTCCTAACTACTAACTTGCTCATGACGATATGGTTAATCTAACTCCTTAGTAATTTCCAAATGTGCATGCACCTTCTCATATTTAATTCTTGAAAATAATACAAATTAAAACAAAGCAATCCTGAACCTCTGAAGGCCATTTCAAAAAAATAATGGTGAAATAGAAAGTGGGGACTTAAATCAGGTCATTTAAAGGGATAGTAATTCAGTACTTACCAGTCGTCGTTTGGGCTTGATGAGAGGTCTGTTTGCACCGTTCATTTTGTGATATAAGCCACAGGCATTGCACAGATAATGACCCGTCCCGTCTCTCCTCCAGAGTGGGGTTGATGTAGCACCACAGTTGACGCACTCTCTACCTTCTGCAAAGTAAAAGTATTGGTAAAATATCACATTTGAAACCGCTTACATTTACTATAACCTGCATGCCGAGTTTGAGCAACGATAGAAACCATCATTTTCTTTCTTAAACCTGTTTGTTATCTGTGTGGTTTGACAAGAATCGATTTATTGATTAAAAAGTTATATCAAAGTACGTGTTTATAAAATACGTGTTTTAGTTGATTATACTTTGGAAAAAGTTGTTGAAGATGTAACATAAAATTACAATCAAAAATTGATAATAAGCTTATGAACGAAAACGCGACGCCAAAGACAAACATGTTTCGGGAAACAATTTAATGGAGTTTAATACCATTACCCCCTCCAGTTCGGCCACTCGCCAGACGCGCCCCACCGTTAAGTCGGACTTAACAACTACCTATTAACCCCAGGGAAGGCTAAACAAAAGTAATTTAGCGTCTAATATTGTTTTATGGTTTGTAAAATGGACAATACATTAGGTATTAAAATCTTAGGGAAGCTGTGAAGTGACTAAGCGATGATTGCTAACGAAGTGTTGCGATGTTGTTAGAAGTAGGGGGTTCATCGCGTTTACCGGATACAATTAGCTCCAGTTACACCGTCTGTCTATGGCTGGGATACCGCGTCTATGGTATTAGTAGGTCGGTTGCTCTTTTGTTTTTACTTTTGGCCTTATCCCCATCTATGAACTCATTAAAAAATCGCATCCCGTCGGAACTTATTGTGTTTTACTTTTCTTGAGATGGCGTTTAAAGTACCATTAGTATTAAAGCGACTACAGAAGATAGAAGATTACAGAGGCGGTATTATCTGGTTATGGACACCCCTATTATGGGAGAAGAACCATTTAATTGTCAATTAAGATACCATCAAATAACACTTCCATATGAAGTGTGTTGGACACAAACACACAACAATGCAATACTATTGTCCATTCTGTATGGTTTATCTCTGATCTTCTTCAACGCTTTGCGTATTGAACAGATTAGTGAAGCACATTAAACCATAACATAAGAATTCATTTGTAATGAGACAGCAACTGATCGTTGCTTCTGCTGAACTTCGCACTTCCTTGTATCCAAGGAAATCAGATCAAGATCGTGCTAAACACCAAACAGTGTACTAGTATTTTATTTGACTGATACATTAAGAAAACGATAAGTAGGCCTATGAATGAATTATTAGAAATTATTCTACACACTAACTACTGATATTTCTTGCATAAAGACTCCCAAAGTACACGTTCAATCTCTCAATTATTAAGCTTGAGCAATGGGGCATTGAGTGACTGCTTTTCTTATGAATGAAATGGGTCAGTAAGGATCGATTAGTATGAACCTTGATGCAAGAGTTGAGTTGTTAATTTGTTTAGAGGTTAGAAAGTTGATATCGTACCCTCACCTGAGCTGCTCCTCTTCTGGTTCCTGGCCCTGGCTAAAGATGCCGCTTTAAACATGTTGGCCGAGTGAAAGAGGGCGCTGCTGGTATAATCGGTGCCCACGTATGGGTAGGTGGGGAGTGGATGTGACGGATGCGATCCATTAGTGCCTCCATGGACATCCATATGCGAACTAATACTGTCTTTCTGTGCGGGTTTACTCTCGGGGGAATATTCACTGTTTGTGTTGTTATTGTTGTTCGTTGTGCCCATATCGGGAGTGGAATCTTTAGGAGGTGTTGGCGGGAAACTGAAGAGCTGTGATGATGATGCAACTGATGTGGAACTGGTTGACGTAGGATTCACAGTGAGTGGTGCCGTGGGGCTTGGGTGACTGAGGGGCTTGCTGAAGTTAATCCAACCAGAGTGGGGCACGACTGGTGTCTTTCCGGGCTCGGAGATCCAAGGTGTCAAGGGACTATGGAAGTGGGGTCTGCACATCTGACCACTCCCAATGCTGCCTGCTAAATAAAATAAAACAAGCTTACGATTGGGCTAACTTTAAATTGGGAGACAATTAGCCATATAAAGAATAGTGAATCCCACATGAGATAAGATTGCTTCAAAGAATTTGTATTTTGCTACTATTCTCTAATGCTGAAATGAAAACTATCCAATTAATGATATGGATCAGAGCTGATGGCAAATGCGCAGACAGTTGGCTCAAATTGATAAGGTTGATCTGTAAACCAAACTCACAGAATTCAAGAAAATCCCAAAAGTGTGTAATTCTAGTTTGTTAATTCATAGATGGAATGTGACGCATTGCAATTAATTTTATAGCGAGAAGTAATGCAGCAAGTAAAAACATATGCTATAATGTTTGTACATACTGTTAAGTACATTTTATCAAGTTGTAAAGAAATTCACATTATTTGAAATGTAGTCTTTAATAATGCGCTGAATTAATTTTTCAATAGATGACCTAAAAATTGTATAAATTGTGAGCGAGCGAAGCGATCTCTTGTGTACAGGGTACAAATACAGTTTGAACTATTTTACAATGCTGCTTGTCAATTTTTATGAAGTCTTTAATCTTGTATTTATTGGGTGGTTTATTTGCCGACAATGTCCACTGTGTCTATTTCCATCTTTAGCTCTATTGATGATGCACTTTTCGGAGTAACTCAAATTATTTAATAGGGTCTTTAAGATCTGTTAATAGGGTAAGCTCGAGTGTTAAGTTATGTGTAATGTTTTCTGGTATAGTGCATAATTTGAAATGACAGTTTTACAACATCACCAACGTGGGCCTCGAAAATATTTTTCCTGCGACTGAATAAACTGTTTCCTTCATAATCCACATTTTCGGCTTCCAAAGTGGATATAACACAACTTTGAACAACTGAAACCTTTTTAACCAAGATGCATAATCTAACTTGGTCTCGTTTGACTTTTCTTGTGTCAATTTTATTTTTACATCTCCATTGACATTTTACCAAAGGATGTGATTAAATCGTTTGATTTTAGTGACGGAATTTTATTTTCAAAGAAAACATTTTAGAATAACTTTCACCTGATTGATCCGCAAACGGCTTAAACAAACATGTTTAACTTAACAGACGCGGTGGATACTAAACTATAGGATTATCCCTTAATGCGTAGAAAAACTAGGATATGTGCACTGATACAATTTGATTTGTTTTTATTACTCACTTATATATACAGACTACATGGGAAACATATCAATTTTTGTTCTCTGATTTGTCAATTGATTCAAGATTTGTTCAGATGAGATTTTTATCTAAAATCGCTGAAATGTTAACTGGAACCATGGTCCTAAAATTTTTAATTTGAACTGATGGTACTGTAGTACACAAAGGATGGGATGATAAAGGCGATCCATCTTTATGTGTTTCTGATAGTTAATGATGTAATCTAACGATGATATGTTACCCGATGGGTAATTCCCACTCATTCTAGAATAGCTGTGAACACTTCCCTGTTGCTGGCAAAATGATCTCAGTTATAACATTACATCAGATTCGTTAATTTGATTTCAAATTGTAATTGTTTAGTTACTATCTGAGTGTCGATCAGTGAAAAGCTATGCCACAACTCTACATCACAGTTCATTCATGAGCTTCGTAGTAATAATTCGTGAATTATTTACCAACTGTCAGCATTTGCCATAAGTTGTATTTTGACATGTTTTATATTAGTTATGTAAACTATTAAAACTTCATAAGTAGGTGCTCACCTCCTCTATAGCCATGTACAGCTCGGGCGGCTGCTGGACTCGCATAGTAACTGGCAGCGTTGGCGCCTCCCTCCATTCCGTGGAAGAACATGTCTCCCATATTTTCACCTTCCATGTTGCCCTGGTGCTCGGGACGTACCCATGTCGGTTGGTGATCGCTCGTCATCTCCATTTTCAATTTCGAACTCTTCTAACTCGATTTGCGTCTGAAAAACAAAGAATCTCAGTGTTATTTATAGTTTACAATGTTTCCCATCATGTCTTCGCGTTTGACTCATTTCGTTATGATAGTGGTGTTTGTAATCACACGTTGTTGACAAATAGACTACTGGATCTGGACTATATAAAAATAAAAGTTTCCTTAATTTTAGACATGATTTGTAGAGAGGAAACAGTTGCCATGGAAACGAGCCAGTCTGCAATATGTGGTGTTACATTAATGATGCACCATAGCGCCTGTTGACAAATCAGGCCCTGCTCTGGAAAGTTTAAACATTCACATATAACTAATTGTTTCGCTAATAATTTGTGAACGAACTTGCTGCTTCATGCTTTCACCAACAGCTAATATCAGTAAAATCTTCGATGAAATCTACGGAGAAAACTCATAGAGTTATCTATCAACAAACGATCTCCTAAATGGATAAGCATCTCGGCTTTGATAAAGTTATTTCAAGTGGCTTTGTTTCTAGCAAGAAGCACTTGAAGAAATGATATAAATTATGAGATATATGCAACATCAGTCAACGACTGTCAGATGATATTTTCCGATGATATAATATTGGACAATGCTTGAGATCCTAACTTCCTTCTTCATAAAGAAACTCTTAGAAGTGAATTTTGAAAAGTATCTGAAAGTTAAAAAATCTCCGATTATAAACCAATAAATTAAGATATTTCCGATAAGCTAATTTTTAGCAATAACTGAGATGAATTTTATATCAAAACTTTGTTTAGAATATTGTTGAGAATTTAAGAAGTTGCAACAGAAGTTTAAGATTAGATCACCGAACCAATGCACCGCACACTTCTCATTTCATTATCAAATCAGATAATCGGTTAACAAATCATTTCGGTATGTTGTTTTCCGGGGTGTTAATTCAAGATTAAAAAATCAAAAATTGTTTCCGTTTTTAAGTATAATCTAAGAAATTTTATCTTTATGAGTTTATCTAAAATTTACGTTAATTACTTGAATATTAATGACTTCTGATAAGATGCGTCCTTAATAATGCGATTGATGTTTTTAATCCAAGTTTTTTTGTGATTTATCTCTGAAGATGTTTTAGTTGAGATGTAACTATGTTATCTGATGGCAATGGTGCCACAAATCGCAAGTTATCTCTTCCTCGTCCTCGATAATTCTTGTACAAGTTAGAACTCCAGTTAAAGAAAAAGCACGTGGGCTTGCTTGTAAACTTTGCAAATGATAATATTCCAGTGTAGTGAAACTTATACACACCTCCACGTTCTGGTGGTTCTGGTCAGCTTAAAGTCCACTTTGAAAAAACTTGATAATACACGTCTTCTTTCTTCTGCACTTTTCGAAGTGAATGATAAGTTACTCGTGAGATTGATGGAGTGGTTCGGACAACAGACTTCTGTTTGTGATGATCAAAATTTCTTTTTCTGCACATTCCGCCATATTCACTGGCGCCACCCGGCTACGCTCGACACCCCTCCCTGGCGCGACGTGACTGCTTCTCAGCCAATCAACGGCCGGGCCTTATTGTTGAAACTGACAGCAACCAGACAACTCCGAAACGTCATCATTTTGGCTCCTCCTACTATTGCCAAAAACACTGGTAGTCTTCATAACCCATGTGTCAATCATGTTATATACAAACTCCCTTCCAAAATGATTGTGTACATGATGAGTGTATCAGATATCCCTCAACTATCCTCGTACTTTTACAATGTTTAGGGTAGCCTCTAATTTTGTTTGGATTGTGTTTTCAACACTTTACTAGCATTCAGCGTTTGGGGAAACTGATTTTGATCTCTACAAGAAACTGTTGCATTTCTCATAAAAGACTAGTTCAATACAATAAAATACAAATAAACAACGATTAATGAATCAACATCAATAAATTATATTATTCACAATCCAATTCACGTTTTTAGAAATTATCATCTCTATATCTAAAACAATGGGGAACAGGCTAAAGATTATGCGCAAGTGTCATTGTTTCGCGTCCAGGAAGGACTTGTCAGTGCAAATTATTCCATGACATTTCCCACTGAAATGGCACCAACCCAACCTGGGATGTCTGATTCGGGTGTCAAGTTAATAAATTCATTTCTTATAAACCAGGTAATTAGTTAATTAACAAATATACTTATGTTGTCTGCCCCGTTGACTGTTTACTAACATTGGTAATCAAACTTTTTCAAGCGATTACATTGTTATGTAAACAAACAGACACGCAATAACTGCAGTGGGAAATCTCGCAGCGGAACGTGGTGGGATCTTTTTGTCGCCTTTTGTTCGACACAGCAAAAAGCAGTCAGAAAACAGACCGGTCACACTTTGCAGTCGGTTAATCATGGTTATAATATGCTAGCTAGCCAGGGTAAATCATAGGGTAGGCGCGACACGGAGCGAACTTCTTTGTTGGTCGGTGAAGCGCACGGAGACTACCTGTCTTTCTGCCTGCAAGCTAATACCCTCCCCGTCACTTGTCAGCGCCACCGCTACGACCCGCTAGACGCAGCCCCGGGGATTTTGATTATTTACCGGATTATATCATTCTTGATTGCCGTAAATCGGATTTCTTAACTGGATTACCGGTGTCTGGTCGAAGACTTTCCGATTCCTGTTGAATGTATCAACTATAGATCACTATAGGCCTACTAAATAAATATGCACAGTAAATATGAGTAAATAATCTTATTGATGTTTGTGTAAATATTAGAGTCCCACTGAATAGCAGTGCTACGATATTGAGATGACTCTCGGATACATTGAGGAAATTGTGTCTATCGCATTAGTCGCTTGTCTCCGGGGTTAAGCTTTTTCAAAGAATATTTAAACTTCGATTTATTCCAGAATTAATGTACCCGGCTTTTATTTATTTATTATTGTACGCTGTGTTTCAAATGGTGGCCTTTCTTTGATTACCAATTGCATTCGTTAAACATCGCTTTTTAAAACAGAGCTTCGGAATTAGATTGCGCTCGGGGTATTCCCTGATTCAAATGTACAATCAGCATCATCTATCTACCTAGGATGAACAGACCAAAAAATCCATAAAACATGTCTAGGATAGATGGTCACCTTGTTCAAATGGTAGTCCTATCAAATATATCTCTACACATGCGAAAACCATTTCAGGAAATTACAAGGGAAAAGCAAAATATGAAATGATCATATAATTCAATGCAGGCCAATATCAATTAAATACGTTAAATGTATTAAAATTACATCCAATGAATAATTTAGAAATTTATATAAAAATCCCATTTGCAATCGTTTGACTTCGCTTCTTAAAAGAGAGGCTTCGTCTTCGTAATTTATAACTAGACTCTGTGCGCAGGGAAACGTTTTAGGACCCCAAAATTATTATTTTGGCACTGCCATCTATCAATGGGGTGAGCAACAATTTTTACTAATTAGTGCATAGAGTTACCTTTGCAATCGTCTTACTTCGCTTTTCAAGAGAGAGCTTCATCTTCAGTTTATTGTTTGTTTATAACTAGACTCTGGGCGCAGGGTACCACAGAGTGAGTAGTGAGTAGTTGGGAAATAGAGGGTTTCATTTCAAGGAATTCAAGTTACCCTGTGTGTAGATGAAACTCTCTTTCAAAGAAGCGAAATTATTGGAAATGGTAAATTCAAGTTGTCTTGATTACTAAAATCCTTTTTTCGATGAATATTAAACATTAATAAACGATCGTGACTTAGTTCTGGCCTTTGCATTCGTTGACTTCACTTCTTAAAAGAGAGCTTCGTTTTTAGTTAGTAGGTAGCCCGGTAGGTAGTAGGTTGTAGGTAGTTTATAACTTAACTCTGCGCGCAGGGTTCTTAGTTCTTGTGTTGAACAATATAACAGTCATACTATAACCTATACTTCAATAGGTGGACATAGATCAATGTAAAGTTTGAACGATGATTGTTTATCGTCAAACTGATGCTGGTTCGCACCAGTGTTAACAACTTGACACTGAAATCTAATTTAACATGAAGATTTAATAGCGGATCAGCATTGTCTCAAATATAAAGGGTGTCACATTTATATGAGTTCTATTTATCATGCGGGGATAATGTTTGTTCCCATTAATAGCACCCTTGCTGACCAACGTCCCTTCCCATTTAAAGGTATCATTTTGCACTAGCTCATCAACACACGTGTCGTCACAATAATCTAGATTGTCTCAGCGATGGACACAGATTTTGATTATTGCCGACGCTATATCATTGACGCTAAAAAGTTGCAATTTCCAAAACCGCTCGAAAGTTAGCCACACGAGATTGTAGGAGTTAATAATAAAAGAAACCTTCGGAAATTTAACATTTGGATATATTGAATTAAAAAAGCAACGCACGGAAGATAAGTTACATGCTGTTTTGAATTAATACAAAAACAAAAAACAACGTGTTATCAAATAGAGGAACTGAACTTGATTTTCAAAAAGTACTCATTAACTAATATATCATTAAATTCTTCAACAATCCCTTACAACTAAACTTGATTTTCAGAAAAGTACTCATTAACTAATATATCATTAAATTCTAAACAATAATCCCTTACTCCATGTAGTTGTCTGATGATTATATCTATGGGTCATTATTGTCAGTGCCATGTGTGTATGGATGAAAAATAGGATGATATGAAATCATTAAGTTTGTGTTAATGAGAATATTGAATTTTGAATGAAATATAGTAAATGTAAACCCTAATCTCTGTTGTTTTATTTTCACTATATTGAGTAACTCTAATAAACCCATCTCCATCCGAGAAATGTTGCACTGTTTTTATCAAAAATATACCATTTTATTTAATTGATTTCCATTTGCAGTACAATAGATTTATATTTTGTAATTGTTGCATTACATGATGCGGGGATTTTTATATTCATATATATTTCTGCGTTAATGGATGCGGGATTTAAATCACTACTTATTTTTGCGCTGATACTTGATAGATTGTTTTATTCCCGTATTTTTGGTTTGCAAGATGCTTTTCTGAGCAATTGTATTGTATCTTTGGAATCAATTTTCAAATTCTGTGATATGAGCTGATAATAGGCTCCTCGCGTACATTGAGAAGCATAAGGATAAATGATTTATTAGAATTTCATATTTTTAGTGTATTTGAATATTTGAAAGCAGTTATATAAAAGTTATATATTTCTGCACCAGATGTAGTAATAGTATGGTGGATTGCATCTCTCGTAGTAGTAACGGATTAACTTGAGCATAGCCCACCCCTTCCTTGTTACGGCAACGGGGCCTATTCCCCGTGGGTCCAGCTAACGATACATTTAACTAATCTAATGAGTTGTGGTTAATCTTCTCAGTTACTGTTACCATGGCACTTGAAATAAACCATAATGTAATTAGATTATAATTCTAATATTATTGTCGTTATAGCCATAAGTGTCTCTCATACAGTCCTCCTAATCAAGTGCTTTTTGATTACGTTTCATACGGTTCCAATAACGTGCCAATCCCAGAGGAATTCTTCAAGAAATGATCAAATATTTTCTTAATTTTGTTCATTGTGATTCTTGATTACTCATGTGGTTTGATCCCGTAGTTGGCAATAGTTGTTTTCATGTTGCTAAAGTTGTTACGTTGCTCATTTCTCGAGTGGTATATCACGGGACAAACATTTTTCTAAGATGGGAAAGTGTAACGAAATAAAACTACAAATAAAATGGACGTTTATCAGCGATGTTGTTATTCGCCAATACTGTTTAACCGCACTTCTAATTCTCGATTTAACTGCTATTCAAATCCCGTGACGTTTAGCATGTCAGTTTTCATTTAACCAATTATTTTGATCTAAATTAATAGCCCATCGAGTATCAAAAGATGTATTGCCTAGAATGAAAATCTAATTTTGTCTTCAGATTACTCTTGGCTTTATATAAACAAAAGTGAAAGTTGTTAGAAAAGGCAGAGTTCTGTATTTTTGAGTTTTTTAGGGTTAATTACGAGTCTGAGCTCTCACCGCTATCCCCGTCAAGCCATCCTGTACGTACATCACACGCGCTTTTGATGCAAATCTTGAAATTAGCAAAATTTTGTGCATCTGACTGACTCAAGTTGTTATTGCCATGGCAACATTGCTTTGACAGTGGGGATTAGGTTGTAAATCGATCGTTTTAATGTTTCATTAACTTTCAATATAAACTCGAAAATTAGCTTCAATATTTTGTCAATTTCAGTCAAATTGATGATGATTCTCTCTGCGTTCTCCAAGCATAGATTCGATTTTCATTTCCAGTATGAAGCCATATGTAAGATGTAAGTGGTTTATAAGAAAAAAGATCTGCGTGTGGAAAGATTAATGGTCGATGAAATCATATCAGTGGAAAAAGGCAATCTAATACAAATATCATCCAAACCAATCTAGAGTATCTAAACGAGTTTAACATTTTCGAAAGGGTTATCGAATTTGCCGAATAGATATTATTTTTGAGACAATATCAGATTTTAATCATAAAGTTATACGATAAATGGATATCAAGCGGGTTATCTTCATCCCTAAATCAGACTGCTTTCTTTCAATGTTATTTGAGCATTCTGTTTATTTGATCATCTTGATTCTAGATCAGAT